ATTTTTGATTAAATTTGAGAGCTGTCTCACTACCACATTGGCTCCTAAGGGACTGCCTCTTGACGGTCCAGAAAGTCAATGAAGAAAATGTTTAAATATCCCAAGTGACTACCGTGGCTCAACTATATGTTTATCAAGCGACGCGAATACTTTTTGTGCGAAAAAACAAACAAAAATAACGAGTTTATTCGACTATTTCTTTTCTTCCTTGTAGGCCAGAACAAGACTTCCTTAGATTTCCACGACGCATGCGCGAGAATTGCGATCTGAAGTAGTGTAAGCTGGTGTATTCAGATCGCAAATCTCGCGCATGCGTCGTGGAAATCTAAGGAGCCAATGTGGTAGTGAGACAGCTCTCAAATTTAATAAAAAAAAAAATATCTTCATTTGTGTTCCGAAGACGAACGAAGGTCTTACGGGGTGAACTAACCCAACATTTTTGGGTGAACTAACCCTTTAACAGTTTGCACTGAAACTGTCTTTTGAACCGTTTGGTTCCCATTGAAGTCTGTAATGTTTTCATCAAAAACTTTCTTTTCGACTGAAGAAAGAATGACATGGACATCTTGGATGACATGGGGGTGAGTAAATTATCAGCAAACGTGAACTACTCCTTTAAATCCAAACACAACTTTTTTGGGGGGGCCGGGCAGTGTGTAATTTAATTAAATTAATATAATATATAATTTAATCAAATATAGCATATAATATTTTATTTAATATCATTTAATATAATATGATGGCTAATATTTGGACAAAAAATACTCTTCATACCTGGTGAAAAAATAGATTTTAGAATACTAGTGCAGAAAAAGAAAATTGGAGCGATCATAATTGTTTAAAAACGTATTAAATATTACAAACACTGAAAGTGTGATCTGAATGAACATCTTGGGTTGCGCATTTACTATTTACCCATTTTTCCAGGATCCACACTGGAGAGAAACCTTTCGCCTGTGACCTCTGTGATGCCAGATTTACCCAGAACCACATGCTGTCTTACCACAGGAGATGCCACACAGGTGAGCCAACTGGTTCTTGTTACTGAAAGAGAAATAATATGAGGGCAAAAGATAACAACTCCCTCTTCTCTAGGGGAAAAGCCGTTCATGTGCGAGAACTGTGGGAAGAGCTTCGCATCCAAAGAATACCTGAAACATCACAACAGAATCCATTCAGGATTCAGACCCTACAAATGTGAAACCTGCAAAAGAGCGTTTGCTCAGAGGAACTCCCTCCACCAGCATATGAAAATACACACAGGTATTCCTCACAAGGCTGTGCATTTCACTCAAGTAGTGCTCAAATGCTCTCTAATGTGACATATGCGAAAGCATATTGATAGTATAAAAAGCAGTTTGATGTACAGTAACATTAAAGTACATTAGTATAGTTCATTAGCATGTTCAAAGTATAGTATAGTTCAACAAGCAATGCACAACTGATGTACAGTCACAGGATTGTGAAAACCAGAACTACCTGTTTTGACTCTGCTTTCTTCACAGGTGAAAGGCCGTATCATTGTAAGGAATGTGATAAGCAGTTCACTCAACTCAACGCCCTGCAGAGACATCAGAGAATCCACACAGGAGAGAAGCCGTACATGTGCAGCATGTGTGGGAGAACGTTCACAGACAAATCCACCGTACGCCGACACACTATGGTAAAGAACCTGCCATTTTACTCAGCACGGTTTTATAAGTGGGTTTATAGCGCCTATAAAAAATATTCATGCCCATGGGCTTTCAGGTCATTGCATTGCACCATTAAATCATGATGTATTTTACTATAAATGGTGGAAAAAGTGCGGAGAGGGCTGTAAGTGTTTTTATAGGTGCCAGTATGCCTACTACTGATGTTTCCTAACTTTTGAAAGAAATTACTTTTGATCAGCAAGAATGCATTAAAGGAGTAGTTCACTTTTAAAAAAACTTTTGCTGATAATTTACTCACCCCTGTGTCATCCAAGATATCCATGTCTTTCTTTCTTCAGTCGAAAAGAAATTAAGGTTTTTGATGAAAACATTCCAGGATTTTCTCCATATAATGGACTTCAATGGGAACCAAATGGTTCAAGGTCCAAAAGACAGTTTCAGTGCAGCTTCAAAGGGCTTTAAACGACACCAGACGATGAATAAGGGTCTTATGAAGCGAAACGATCGCTCATTTAATAAATAAATAAAAAAGTTTCAATTTTATAAGCTCAAATGCTCGCCTTGCTCTGTTCTGTGATGAGTAGGGTTGGGTATCGTTTGAATTTGAACGATTCTGATTCCGATTCCGAGTTTCGATTCCGGTTCCTAACGATTCTCGATTCCGATTCTTCTAAGAGGCAGGGTCAAAAAAGTTTAGCTAACCTTGCTAACCAACAGCCTTTCTGAAGGAAATAATCCTTTCTGAAGGAAATACTCCTTCTGTAAAAATACTCCTTTTGTCACAAATTTAGCCGAGATTTCGTTATTTTTAGAAAAGTGAAGCCACACTTTGGATCGCCGACGTAAGGTACTCATGTTCGACTCGCGTGGTTATGCAAACACTTCCGGTAGACGCTTCTTCGTTGGTGTTGTTCAGCGGTTTCTTCTTCCGCTCGGCAAACTGTGAATATCGAAACTAGGAATCGAAATTTTAACTTTTGAACGATTCCGGGAAACACGAAAAGTTAGTCCCGGTTCCAATCGATACTCGATTCTCGATACCCAACCCTAGTGATGAGCGTTGGTGACTCTCCTGTTCGAACTCGTTCCTCAAAACAAACAAATCTTTTTGAGTCATGACTCGAAGGGTCCTAGATAAGACCCTTATTCATCGTCTGGTATCGTTTAAAGCCCTTTGGTTCCCATTTAAGTCCATTATATGGAGAAAATCCTGGAATGTTTTCATCAAAAACCTTAATTTCTTTTCAATGGAAGACATCTTGAAAGACATGGGGTGAGTAAATTATCAGCAAAAGTTTTTTGAAAAGTGAACTCCATTAATATAATCAAACTTTTTCCATATGCAGACTCATGACAAACAAACTCCATGGAAGAACTTCCTGGTTGTTTTGGAGGGAAATGTTGAAGACAGAGCCAAGAAACCCAAGGGCTCTTCTCAGAAAAAGGACAAGACAGCGGGATCTGTTCCTGAAGCACAGGGTCATCAGAGCGACACATCGAAGCCCCAAGAAGTGCTGACTGTGTCAGGAGAACCCGTGACCATTTCTGGAGACTGGGCCGTACCTGGAACCATCGCGCTGGTCAGCCAGAACGCCCTGGGCGGCCTCACAGTCATCCAGACCGAAGTGCCCGCGGGAACACAACTGCAGCCATTGGTCACCACAGACGGCACCAGCTTGATCTCTCTGGGTGCTTCTCCGGTCGGGATGCCCGTGACCGTTCCCTTTTCCATCAGCGTCTCGCCGTCGACATCCAGTTCTGTGCCCATCACGGTCACCGGTCACGTTTCAGACGCCATATTGGCTCCAGCAACGGAAGCCGCAGCATCAGGAGCCGATGAAACCGAGAACGTCCTGGCTTCGGCTGCGGTTGAAGAGTGTGTAGCGGTCCAGTCTGTTGTGCTTGAGGAGACGGACTGTGCAGACATTCAACAGGAAGTCAGTGAAAGCATACACACTGCAGATGCTTCAAACACCATAGGAGTCTCAGTAGAAGAGGGTGCCGAGTAGATTATATCAACTTCAGTTGCAAAAAAACTGAATTAAAAAATTGCTTCAAATTATCATTGTAAATACTTTTTTTTTTTTGCGTAATGATTGGAGAAATTATCTATAAATGTAATTAGCACTGTACTTAAATCACAATGTTAAATTCTTCTCTAGTTTCTTTCTGACATCATATACAATTTCCCCTTTCAAATCTTATCATTCAAACTGTTTTTTTTTTTATAAACCAAATATTAGCTTTTGTTCTCAGTAATGATTTTCACTGATATTTATTATGCTCCACACTACAAATATTTCAAATGACGCACATGTGACCACAAATTACCTATTATGTGTATAATTATTTGCAACCATGATAACACTCCTTAAAATCATTCAATAAAGTGTGCATTGAATTCAGCTTCCTTTTTTTCTTTTAGATCAGAGATGCTCAAACCAGGCCAAAGTTGGCCCATGATGACCTTTAAAAAAAACATGCCATTGAAACATAATTATCAAGACTTAAAACATTTTTTGTTTTCATTTTGGATTGTGTTGAAATAAGTGAATAATATACAAGTGAATATAAGTAAAAATGTATCCTTTCTAGGAAAAATCTGGGCACTGAAAATATACGTATAATATAAATACACACACACACACTCATTTATATACACAGCCATTCAAAAGTTTGGGGTCAGAAATAATTAATAATTTACTTCAACATGGAAGCATTGCGTTTATAGTGTGAAAGTGACAGTTAATACATTTATAATGTTTTAAAATATTTGTATTTAAATTAAATTAAATTAATAATAAGAAGACATTTTTCTTGAACAGAAAATCAGTGTATTAAAATGTTTTCTGAAGGATCATGTGACACTGAAATGAAAATTCAGCTTTGATCACATGAATAAATTACATTTTAAAATAGATAAAATAAAAAACAATTCTTTGAAATATGTATAAATTATAAATTAAAAATGTATAAATTATGTATATAACAATTCTTTGTAATATTTTCGTTTTTATTGTATTTTAAATCAAATAAATGTAGCCTTGTTGAGCAGAAGAGACTACTTTAAAAAACATTAATAAATCTTATCGACCCCAAACTAAAATTATGTATATATGCATGTATGTGTGTATATATATATATATATATATATATATATATATATAAGGGCCTATAATAAAAATATATATATTTATATTTACTTTCCTTAACTATCCATGTGATTTGATCATGTCCAAAGCTAGTTACTCGTCAAAATGTAACACGGAATAGATAATAGAATACATAATAATGATGCTAGGCTTGGCGAAAACCACTATTTAGGCAGAAACTGATAAAACTGAATCATGTACCCAATTGAATATGGGTTTTTATTTCTGTACATTCTCACAGACATTCAGTAAAGACATCAGCTGCTCTGTGGGAAAGTACATTGTTTGGTACGTCTTCATGGCTTCTTAAAAACTCTAGAATATGGTAAAATACAGACGTCACGACACGTGAAACACAGAATGACATGCGCTGCTAAAGACCACAGGAGTGGAGAGTACATGAGCTTTGTATTCACAACACGACACACACATAGAGCATGTTAATAAGGTTATACAAGGATTTTACAAACGCATCAATTGCTTTGCTGATGGAGATTTAACAGACGGTGTAAAAATAGATAGTTAAATGGATTTTAACTAATGTTATGAGAATAATAATGTTTATAATATTTATAATATCATTACAGTAATAATAATAATAATATTTCAGATAATAATTAAATTAAATAAATATATATTTAAGAAAACAATCCAAAAGTCGATTAAAAAGAAATCATTTCCATCAGGTATGACATGATTAAGACATTGTTTTGTAAGAATTTAAACTCCAATTCAAAATGGTGGATTATGGGAAAGTGAAATTCTCAGCGCTGCATGAATGTCTGATTAAAATGAGACATGGACGACAGCTGCGTTGAGGCCTGCATGCCAACTAGTGTGAGCAGACTACAAAAACTGCACAAATAAAGACAATGTCTAAATAACATTATTCAAAACACACGATCCTGCAGCACTGACTCGATAATTATATCTGTACAATTCATGCAGCTCTAGCACGTTACAATTCAGTGACTGTTGCGAAATAACCAGAGGACTATCTCAAACTCCCTTAAATCTCACGAACCAGTTCGCTCCGTGTTTCCAGAAATATCCTCGTAACGCAACAGGGAAACCAGAGCACATCTTTCAACTGCTGTGCTAAATTTTGATATGTGCTATATTATATAACTGGATATCAATGTTAACAGTACAGGCTTAGAAGTATATTCTCTAGAAATGTTGTAGCAATACATTTTGACATACTGTTTTGGGAAACCTGGACTTGGCCATTGCACAAAACTGATGTGAAATGGACGTGGGGAAAGAGTGTGCCATGCAGTGGGTGGTCCAGATCATTTGAGGTCCCCCTCCTCGTCGCCCTGAATGGTCTTCTTGATCCGCAGGAGCAAGGTGGTGTGCCACTGGTCCAGGCGTGAGATGGAGTCAAACTCCTTCACCTAAAAGATGGAGAGAACAACTCTTATCATCATATGTTATAGAGGAACTTTGGAAGAATGAACACTACTCTATCAATAACTAAAACGTTTCCGAAATAAAATATAAATATTAGTTGAAAAACATAAACTTGAGTAAAATGTGAAAGGCAATAAACTGAAGTTGATTAACTACAACAATAAATTAAAAATTAAACCTAAACAGCAATATTTTGATTAACTAAGAATATACAAATAAAAGCCAATTCAAAATATTAATAAAACTAAAATTAGATTTCTGTGCCATTAGAGTCACCAAAATAAATTGCAAAAATAACAACCTACTTCCCCCCCTACCTTTTATATATATATATATGTGTGTGTGTGTGTGTGTGTGTGTGTGTGTGTGTGTGTGTGTGAGTGTGTGTGTGTGAGTGTATACAATATATATATAAATCAATGTATGTATGTATGCATCTATCTATATATATATATATACAAAAAAATCAGTTAAATTACATTTTTACGAATATAATGAAAAGATGTTAATGTGAAGTCTTACCGCTTCTGTGAAAGCCTCTGCGTTTTGCTCCTCATGGGCCTCTAGAAGTTTCTGTAAGGACAAAAACTATAATTATTCATTATCGAAAGAGATGCACAACTTGATGTTTGATTGATGGGGAACGTCCTTTTCTCGTTTTCTTTATATAATTTATTCCCAATTTGAATAACCGTTTTCGAATGTTACTAGGATAACCAATGTGAACTTTATTTTCTAATACGTAAAAAAAAGGGCAATAGTCGAACCTTAACCTGCAAACCTTAACCTGTAATGAGCTCCTGTTTTCTGGGGGTTTTTTTACAAGTAGAGGCCAAAAGTGAACTCTGGAGGGGATATTTGTTTTTAATGACCCCACAAGTTCGATTAAACCATCAAAATATGAGGGAAATATATATTTGTTTTTAATATTTTAAATATATGGAAAGACACAAGTTACACTAAACCTGGTCATGTTGCGTTCCCAAATGCAGGGTTTAAGTGACTCAAACACACAGCACTTGCAGAGACATTTACTGTGAATCGAAACTGAAATGCTGAAACATGCACCATGTCAGACTTTATATTTTTTAGGTTTATTTAGTAATTAAATCATACCGACCCCAACCATTTGTTTATCTGATTTACGCAATTCACATGGCTCATACTTTTCAGGTCGGAAAATATGGAAATTCGTACATTAAAAAAAATAAAACAAAAAATTGACACCTGTGAAATATTGCTCTTTAAAGGTGCCATCTGTAAAAATTGAGGTTAAAATATCCCAAAAATGAGCAACACGCATCAAAAGATTGAGAAGAAATAAGGTTGATGATGTCATTAAAAAACTGACAAGTTATAGTGCTGCCGAGATATTAACCTGAATTAGCATGCTAAATTACTAGCCCCGGCCCGGCAGGTGTCGTAATACCAGTTTCGAACCATGGGAGTCGGTATGCGGGCGGGCAACGTTACCACCAGCCAAACTGCAGTACACGAGTAAGTCGCGCTCGCGCCAGCTTGTGTGTACTTGAACCTGACGTCAGTCGTGTGGAAAATACAGCCCACTACTACATTTCAGTTCAGGGAAGAGTTAAAAAAAAAAATGATTGGTCGATATTATGCATGAGGAATACATTTTGGTAAGTTGTAGCATACTGTATCTTTCAACAGTGTTCGTGTTCTTTTACCATTAGCTAGTAGAGATGATCGGTTCACGTGCGCTAGGGATCTGTCGTGTAAAGCGCCAATACTGTATTTATTGTTTGAATTGCGTAATAAAATGAACAGAATCTGAGAGCTGACATCGGTCTCCATGTCCTTTTCTGTGCATGACAAAAATGTGTGGCGTGAAAGTGTGTGAAAAGTGTTGTGAGAGTTGGCAGCTCTGAAAGACGCTAGCTTGGTCCACATCAGGGAATTGCTGTCTGTCAAATTAATTCAAACTAATGATAAAAATGTAATATGAACAAATCGAATATTATAAAACTAGAAATAATAGCCTGGAAATGCACCGACTTGTCTATGAGACGGCCCTTATAATTTAGTATTGAGATGTTGTTCATTAAGTCTCTAATCTCTGAAAATCTCCAAATGCTCCACGTGAAACTGCGGTCTTCCAACCTTTTACTATCGCGTCAATTGATTTGATTAATATGCACGAGGGAGACAGAGCAACACAGCACTCGCCCATATTGTTTGAAGACATGAGAGAGCGCGTGGCCGTGGAGGTATTTCTGGAGGTATACTGCCCCCATCTGGTATGGAACATGTTGTATGATTTGATTTTGATTTTGTATGAAAGAGTCCTTCAATGCAAGCAGACTTGATTTTTTCTAGTCTAATCCACCCTGATTAAAAATGATAAATCACAAACCTTTAGAAGTTTGCATTCTCTTGAATCTGAGAAGGCTGGAAACATCTCTTCATACTTTCCAATAGCGAGCTACAACAGAAAGAAATCATAGATATCATCTGTATCAGCTCTCCATTTCAACCTGTGCATCCTCAACCGAGAACTGACCTTTGCGTTTAGCTCGTCCACGATGAAGTGACACAAAGCAGCTTTGAAGAAGTATTCTTTGGCGCTGTATTTCAGAAGGGGATTGTCCATGGTGTTGGATCCAACCTGTTCTCACAAACACACACTTACAATTTAGCAACTGCTGGTGAGTGACTCAGCAATGTTGGAGGAATCTGCAGGAGATGTACAGATGGCAATACCTGCTCATAAATCTCTATTGCTTTGGCGTACTGTTCTAACTGAGCGCTGTATGAAGCCACCTTCAGCAGACACTTGTTTGCAGAGCTGTAAATTAAGCAAATGGACCATATCAAATCTTAAACTAATCATCAAAATGCCTTAATAATAAAACCTACCTTTAGAAACAAATGGGGAAAACACAAGACCTTGGTTATTTGCAAGCTTACCTGTTGGATTCCTCTCCTTTGTAATAGTCAGCAGCTTGTTCATAATGAGCGATCGCCTTTGGACAACCAGAAACAGAATCATCTTAACCGGTTCTGTTTAACATCACGTGTTTATTTACATCCACAACAAATAACTAGAGCAGCGCACTATTAGAAAACAACTTTATTAAAGGGACACTTCAGGATTTAGCGTTAAGTTTTATATTATGACCCATTTTAAATACACATCATCTTTCCAGAGCTGAAGTATCCCTTTAAAGGATATAAAATCTGTTTTAGGAGATTGCATGCTATTTGTAAACCTTTATTATTTATTAATAATACTTTATTAAGAATAATAAATTATACATTACAATCATTTATAATCATTTATAAGATGGTTGGTTAATGATTTATTATTGATAATTGTCAATAATAATATATTACTTTTTATTTTATATATTACTAATTATTATTATTATTAAAGCAAAATTCTAGGAGTCAACTGGGTTTTCGCTTAACCGTTTATGAACTTGCTAAGAAAAGCCCATTTAATGCATGATTTTAATTAATAATCAATAATACATTATAATAATTGTATTATCAGTAATTATCATCATCATTTTATTTTTATTTCATTTATTTATTTTATTATTATTTTTTTATTATTATTATTTTTGGGCGTGGTTGATGTTTTTTATATTTGTATTATATGAAAATTGTATTTTAAAAAAATAAATAAATAATAATAATGGTTGCTTAATGATTTATTATTATGCGCTTTATTTGGGTATTAAACGTTTGCGGTTTAAGATTGTAAATGTATTAATTTACACTTGAAAGCGTTACGGTGGCAAGAGATCAAACTGGCTAAAATGTATTTTAAGATGAGGTAAACTTCAATCAGCATTCAAATACAGCTCATGTTAAATTAGGCATGTTTTTATACTAAATTTACTTGTCCAACAGAATATAGAAAACCGTTCTACATTCTCAGTATATGCCATATAAATAAGGTAAATGTTTGTACCTTCTCAATGTCCACCAGCTCGGACTCGTACACCTCAGCGATTGTGATATGATGCTTGGCTGCGATGGTGAATCTTCCCTGAGGACAGAACAGAGGAGACATTATAAAATGAATATTTCACTCAGTATCCATCAAGCTTTTCTAATCTATTTCTAATCTACACGCTTTGCAGATTATACATATGATAAGCCTCATCTAAGCCCCTTTCACACAGAGAGTTGATCCCAGAAAATTGCCATTGAATTGCTTTTTTTGAGTGTGAACGCCAACACGTCACAGGATTGATACCGGGATCGATCGCGGGATGGGGACCTAGTAACAATGCTGGGATCAGTCCCGGAACGTGTCCTGTGTGAACAAAAGGCAGGACCAATGGGATAAGGGGTGTGTCGTAGTGATGAGATCGTTTGCCAGCTTAGTGGAAAGGTACGTGGTGCGCTAGTTTATAATGATAGCCAACCGCAGAACCATTTTTCCCCCCAGCAGTCTGCGGACAACAGTGCCATGCCAGCAGTCTCACACCATTGATGTGGTGGAGCTTATAGCGTCATATTTTAACATTGAGCTAATTTTTTTTTGTACATTTGGAGTGCTGTCAGTACAGACAAAAACGACAAAAATCGGTGTTACACACGTCAGCCGCGTCTTACGTCATCAGCGGCACTGAATGCGGATCCACAACAGAACCGGAAGACAATACAATGCTGAACAAAGTAGTAGTTTTTGTCATTTTTGGACCAAAATGTATTTTCGATGGAACTTACCCACTGATGTCACATGGGCTACTTTGATGATGTCTTTATTTCCTTTCAGGACAAGGACAGTATACCGTACATACATGTTCAATGGAGGGACAGAAAGCTCTCGGACTAAATCTAAAATATCTTAAACTGTGTTCCGGAGATAAACGGAGGTCTTGCGGGCTTGGGACGAGATGAGAGTGAGTCATTAATGACATCATTTTCATTCTTGGGTGAACGAACCCTTTAAAGGTAGGTTTAGTGGTCGGGTGGGTTTCACATTCATTAAGGTTGAGTTTAGTTATAGTGAAAGATAGGGTTAGGGGTGGGTTACACGATCGTCAGCTCCACTAACTTCAGGTCGGACGCTGTAGTTGTGTAGTTCTGCAGGTAGATATATCATTTAGGCAAAAAAAAATTCATGAACAGTTTCTTGAGAGAGAAAAATCGCAGATCATAAGCAAACTTAAGACGCTGCAGAGATATTACACATCACATCCTGATGTCAATGCATGCATCCAGGAAATCACTGGCAGTGTGTCTGTGAATGAACCGAATCAAATGATCCCGAGACACATTATCAGTGTATTTTCCGTAAATCTCTGAGTGAAAGGGGCTCTGGTGACTTTATGAAATTTCTCCTAGATTTTGGAAGGAAGAGGAATGCTTTACGCTCTCATTATTCTGTTCAAATGTTCTGTGGGAGTTTCTCCTGTAATGGTTGGTGGATTGCTTGACAGCTAAAAGGTGAATTGCAGTTTAAAATGCACCCAGATGAAAACAGAACACAACCTGACTGAACATTATATGAAACTATGACTTTTTTGACTGCTATAAAAACATCTTACCATGTCTGTGTAAATATCAATGGATGCGTTTAAGCACTTGATAGCCTCTAATTGCAAGCATTAAAGAGAAGGAGGAGGAAGAGTTAGACAGTCAGACTTATGATCAATGATATGGAAATAAAACAAAATGTATTGAATTCAAGGGAATTTTTGTCTACTTGGTGATATACAGTATATATACACATTTACAAATAATATATAGACTAATTAGTCACATGTAATTCATTTGATTAACATTTGAATCATATTAACATAAACATTCTCTATTACATACATGGCTACACTGCTGAATTATCGTGTCTTTCATTTTCATAAAATAAAAAAAGGCCAATTTTCTCTGATTTGTTAGTGGTCAGTGGCATCGTTTCTACCTGCAAAGCCCCTTAATATTACAGGGATCGTTCACCCAAACATTTCTGTCATCGTTTACTCATCCTCAAGTTGTTCCAAACCTGTATTCATTTTCTTTCTTGTGCTGAACACAAATTAAGTTGTTTTGAAGAATATTAGTAACCAAACAGTTAGTGTTCCCCATTGACTTCCATAGTATATATTTTTTCTATATACTATGGAAGTCATACTAATATAGACCAGCAACTGTTTGGTTACCAACATTCTTTAAAATATCATCCTTGATGGTGAACAGAAGAAAGACTTTCATGCAGGTTTAGAACAGCTTGAGGGCGAGTAAATGATGACAGAATCCTAATTTTTGGGTGAACTGTCCCTTTAAGTAAAATAAGGCATTCATTCTTATGCCATATAGAGTCAGAGGACAGTTTTCATTTATTTTCTGAGCTTCACTCACTGTTCTTCTTTAAAATTCAGCTCCAGTACTGATTTTTTTACTTAAAACTGGATTCAATAGAAAAGGCAATTAAAATTCCTCAAATTTAAAAATGAAAACTAATATGCAGTATTAATGCATACTACAACAGTATATACTATTAAAACAACACTATTCAGTTCACACAGAAACAATTGTTTTATAAAATCAGAATAATTTAGTTCAAAGGTACACTATGTATCTTAGCGTTTAAAAAATGAAACTGCATGCATTTTGCGGAAGAACATTGTTTTGGTTGTGCTTCGGCTCTGTGCGGATGAATATAGTTATCCTGCTGCTCATAAAACATTCACTACTACGCTTAACAGATATAACCAGTTTAGATAGAAAGGATGATGTATTGACTCATTATTTAAATCTTGTTCATTTTGAACAGAAAAAAAAGTTACATAGTGTACCTTTAATGAATCCATTCAGCAAAAAATAAATATATATATATATAGGATGAAATGATTCTTGTTTGAGATTTGCTTAAAGAACAAATTTAGGATTATTTGATGCATCTCAACAGTCAGGCCTCATCCAGTATTATCCTCTTGAGATGCATCAACCATTATTCAGAATAAATCAGCTCTGTTACAGTCATGGGTGTCCTCACCATGTGGATCTGCCTTCTTGAAGGCGTTTCCCGCATCGACGTAGCTGGTGGCCGAATCGTGCTTATTCTGAAGCTGCATGTGAAGTCTGGCCGCCTGACAGAAAGCATTGCCTGCAGCTGGGTACAAACAAACACACAAACCTCATCAGCGCGATATGAAACATATAATACATATAAAACATATAATACTTCCTGTAAATTACAAACAAAGCTGTTTCAATATTTACGATTCCACTATAATAACTTGCATTCATGAGATAATCATTCTGAAATATTATTTGAATTATTTGAATGTGTGTTACATAATTACCTTTTAAGCATTATATAACGCAATAATGATTATTAAAGGTGAACAATGTAATTCCTACACCACTAAAAAGCACATACCACTCCAGTTTTTGGCCATTTTGAACATGTTGGCCGCTCTGGCGTACATCTCACAAGCCTCTTCCACTTTCTGATTTCCCCTGAAAGATTTGAGAAAATTCAGTTATGGCTTTTTGTCCATTTTAATATCTTAATGTCAAATAAATCTACAAGACAGAAGTAAAATGCTTTATAAATGTTGGACAGGATTTACAAGTAAAATTTGGTTGTGCATTTGATGAAGTCAGAAAAGTATAGCCTGTAATAAACAGAAAGGCCTAGATAACTTGTGCCCCGGTGGGAATATTCAATTGGGTCAGTTTTTGAAATGCCTCATATAATATTAATCAAACCTATTTGAATTAAAACCATTTCACAGTAGTAGGTCAGAGCTTGTTTACAATAAATAACACTGGATATGTGCTTATATGATCGCGATATATCAATAAAACATCAGCTGTTCTTGAGAAATTTAAAACCATAGGTTATGAAAAAATATTACAATAAAATTATAATACATTATTACTTTTAAAACTTGATTTAATAAAATATAACAACACTTAAATATTGAATGCATCTACTATTATTAAAAATTAGCAAAACATATTGACTGCAAGGCATAATTAAACTAAATATTGCATAATGTATCATTCATATAGGAATAGTAGGAACATTATAGGAACGTCATACCACTTTTCTCTTTTTTTTTCATATAACGTTACTGTACATATACTTTTATTCAATATATGTAAAGTGTCATGACGTTCCTACTCGAATGCATCAACTAATAATATTTTGGCCATTGTGGTCGTACCGTGATACTGTGTTTCTTAATATTATTATAGTGAAATAAAAAAAATAAAAAAAAACAGCAAATGTGTGTAAATGCCGCAGCCACTGCGCCACTAATGCGCCAAACACAGAAGACTTCACTTAGTCATGAACCCACATCACTTATTATTATTATTTGATTTATTATAAAGTCATTATGATCACTGCAAATACATTTAGCTCTCCTTTAATAAACAAGCCTTTATTTCTATCGATTGATGCGCAAAGCGGCCTGTAACAGCTAGGGTCCCTTTTACAATAAAATTCATGTATATTTTTAGTTTGCATGCCATAAACAGTCAGTGTTGACTGGTAAACCTAAAACCAAAGCTTGACAACATGATCATACTGACTATGCTGTTTTAACGGACTAGCTAGCTAGCAGACTGATCGGATAAATAGAGAATGAAGCATCTGTTTTAAGCTTACCCAAACATTCCTCCTAAAAAAGAGCCGGAAGACTTCACTTTTTTATCGGCGTCAGCCATAAGCTGAATTGCCTCCTTTTCTTTACCGGAATTGTCCATTACTTCTGTGGTTAAATGAACAGATAAACGATAGAATATATTTTCGCTTATCTGCTAGTAGCTTCTCTCGCGCTGCCACTAAAGCAGCGGGGATTATACTGTCATAGCGTTCATTAAGCGTGGGCGCACGTACTCGATTGGGGCATTGTGGGATTTCGAGTTCTGCCACCGCACTGTAACGAACTTCCTGTAAAGAGAATCGAGTACAAATAAACTACAACTCCCGTACACACGCATAAACACGCGTTACGTAATATCGTAATTATCGTAGCTTCACTTTTATACATTTAGGGTTATACTAACAATTTTAACTAAACATCTGAAATAATTTGTAGCCATTTTAATCCATTTACGATTTACTTCGATTAGATTAGTGGTTTAGTGTATGTGAGGATATGTATTGGTTTTGGTATGGCTTTGTAGCCACACAGCTCAAATACAATTTGCATTTATAGAGAACATGCTTCATTAAAGGATAATAATAAGCAACAAGCTTCTTTACACTGCCACTGCAGAATATTATGACGAAAAATATAATGCTCATTCCATACAGAGCACTAGATGGCATTATAGATCAGCAGACTAGTTCAATATACCAGAGTCGAGGGGTGAAACGTTGAAAGAAGCTCGGTTGGCCTATTATTTCATTTAATTTCCGTGTATTGTTTATTTTTACATGGACAATGCGCAATTAAAAGTAATTGCACTAGACTATTAGTTTTCTTTTATCACAAAATTAAACTAATACATACAATGTCCATCTTTACTGTGAGTTTAGTATTTTATTCAACATACTAAGACATATTGGGACATAAATATGTGCTGCATAACAGGAATAAGCACACAACTGTGAAAATCCAAGCTTTTAACAGTATACCTGCAAACACATAGTGTGCAAACAGAGAGAAAGAAACAGCAGCTTTATAGTAGCGTACACTATCAAAGCTCAAATAATGGACAAAATACAACAAAAGCATCACATGCACCTTTCCTCTGTTTATATGTCAGGAAAGGGCGGTTAGTTTCCATTCCTCTGATCTCTTATTTAAAGCAATGTGTGGAAAATACTTGTAAAGTGACCAAAGAATGTCAGCCGCTCACTATTGTTTGAGACACAGCCTTTAGAGACGATAAGAGCAGCTTTGCTGGTGTTTTTCCTTTGCTGACATAACACATCGAAGACCACCTCACCTGTGGAGGATAAGAGTATTTCAACATGTACTTTTTAATTTAAATGCCACATCCAGTGCCATTACATGAAGTCAACTTACTCTAACACTTATGATATAAAAGATTAAAAGTTTTTGCATTCTTGTTGAAAACATTGTATTGACAGGTATTGCTGTTTTATACCTAATTTTTGGTGGTTCAGTGACAACGTCAAAATCCAAAATTCACCACTGGTTGCCTCTAGATTTTCTTATGGACTTTTATTAAAGTTCCCATGAAATCAAAATTGAGTTTTTTTGTCTTTTAGTATGAATATGCTAGCCTTACTGTTATCTAGCTAGTGTGCACCAAAACAATGACAAAATTTGCATTTAGAAGATATTATGTTCAAAACTTACACTCTCTCACTTCAATGATTTTGATGACATCACTCTGCACTTCAGCTTCTCATCAGATTTTCTGTCCAATCAAATGCTCTCCAGAATCTGAAGCTCCGCCCCCTGCTCTATAAATAGACGCTGCGGCTGAAATTGGTCACTTGTTCACACATTTACTATTTTCTACATGCTGAATGAATGGCACATAGTGCACTATATAGGGGATAGGGAACGATTCAGACAGAGTATATGCTTTCCATTGGGGCGAATTAAGTCTGGTTTCACGTTAGTGTCATGTGAACCGCAGCGCGCACACTGCTCCGGTCCAGAGACACGATACACAGAGCGGATCACATGCATGAGTCGGCACAGACCACTAAAGGACCCATTTAAATTCTGGAGGATGTTGGGAGGAGAAACGGTTAGAGATTAGGAGGAAACTGCGACTTTACCGAGCTCAACGGCTCTGAGTCTGGATGAGCTGTGATATAAACTAAACGCTATTTAAAAAAAGGGGAGGAGCTGTCCATATGCCCCGCCCTGTCTTCCTGTATCAGTGGAAATTACATCAACACTGATAGAGTATTACTGCGCTTTTCAAGGCACTTCATTGGGTGTAAAATAAGGCCTGTGGTAAACATAACTTGGAAGATACTGGACGTTTTGCTCCAGAGCATAAATTAAACACCCATTTGAAATGCAAATTTTGAATTTTATTTTAATTAAGAAAATGTATGTGCAGTTTACGTTGTCCAACAAAATTTTCATGTATCGTCAAGTTATGTTTACCCCATTTTTTAATTCATAGATTGATAATAATAAATGAGATTTTTAAAATTATATTTTGTTCACTGAGCTAGTAATTTATTTTAGAAATCAGGTCTCCTTACTTTAAAGTACAAATTTCATTAAAACGGTTTCGTTTATTTTTTATTTATTAAAAAAATAATTGTAATTTTAAGTAATTAACCATGATTATTTATGCAATTGCGAATGAATGCATTGCTGAGACAAGGCCACACTGACACTCAGCTGCACATACATCAGATATACACTCATTCCAGTATATACCCAGTTACAATGAAGAGTTCATGTGAATTGCACAGCTGAACAAAAAGATGACATTTTCTTCTACTAAAAGCATCAGTTTCATTTATGAATTAATCTATTATGACCAGTTTTGCCAGTTACCTGGTCCTTACAAATTAAATAATAATTATTTTATTTTAATATTTAAAAAAATATATATATATTGAAAATATTTAAAACAATAAATAATTATTATTTTATTTATAATATTTAAATATATATATATATATATATATATTGATAATATTAAACAAATATTTATAATATTTTGAAAAATATATATTGATAATATTTAAAAAAAATGCAACAAAATAAAAGTTTTTATATAGACTGACAGACACCATAGCATGGTGATATTTGCATACTAAATTATGATTGCTCTTTGAAATATTCACATCATAGATTTGTTGTTGGTTTTGATCTCTTGAAAAACAATAAATTATCACATTTATCAATGCAAAGTCCATTTTCCCTGTACAGTGCACAATAAGTGTCTGCAATTTTACAGCCATAAGTTGTAGAATACAATTTTTCTTCCTATCCTCCATAGTGCACTACTCTCTACCCAGAATGCAACGTTTTACATTATTGGTGATATTGGGATCGTCCTGAACAAAAAAACAGATTTCATTCATATTAAATATATTTATTCAGGCTCTCAGAGCATTGTTCTGGTCTACATTGGCATGATGATATCCACTACAACGAGTGTGGATTCATACAGCTAGTTGCCGGAGTCCAGTGTGAAATTGAACAGCAAACATGCATGATTTCCCTGCCGTGCTGTAGAGAGGAAGCAGAATGAATGCATGCTGAGACAAGAACACACTGACACTCAGCAGCGCATACATCAGACAGCTTTACAGATGCACATTCTTTCCCATATATACACAGTTACAATATAGTGTGAATCGCACAGCTGAATAAAAAGATGCCATTTTGTTCTTCTGAAACCATCAGCGTTTCATTTATGAATGAATCTGTGGATGGATATAGAAGTGATAAAAATAAAAATATACATGTTCATGAGTGTTATTTTAAAGATATTGGCCCTCAGAATAAGTTGTTTTAAGAGAGACAGGCCTCACTTTTAGCTAGTAAATATTGTTGAATAACAGCTATTACATAAAATAGCTTTTCATGAAAGCTATAAAAAGCTTTTTTTGGTTCATAAAATTCTAATACTAGAGCTTTTCATGAATTTGAATTCTGCTTGTGTGTGGTTCATGAAATTCTAAATTGCATATATGTTTAATACTCATTCTGCAGATAGAGAAATCAATAAATAGTTGAAGAGAAAATAAATCAGAAGGCATCATCAATGTCCTCTTATATAACAGAATATTAAGAATGATAAAACAAATATTTGCATTAAGGCAAAATATACATTCTATACACCATCTTTTGCACCCAAATATACAGCAAACACACAGCCTTAGTGGAAGCTAGCGTTGCCCTTAATAGCATTCTTTTGACATAGTTATACTCCAAAACATCTCAGACTTAAGTGAATTTTGGCTTAATGACGGAGTGTATTTGAGTGTTATTTCTGGTGCATTGTGGGAAGATTACAGACATTGAGTGAAGGCAGACTGGATGTGCGGCTCTCAAGAGGAACTGAGTCCGGAGTCCGACTCCCCGTTGTTCTCCGGGGATTTCCCTGGGCAGGGAATGGAGCTGCAGGGAATACTGTAGGAGGAGCAGGCACACGTTTGGATGACGTCCTTGAGAGCAACCTGTTCCTCTACGTTGAATATGTTTGACTGCTCGAGCTTGTCTTCACAGATTCTGTAATTAAAAAAAAAAGACAAATCGTTATTTTTTTAATCTATAGGTCAATCTGAGGGAGGATCGTCATCAAACAAAAAAAAAGACCTAGAAGAAGTTTAAAGGATTAGTTCACCCAAAAATGAAAATGATCCCATAATTTACTCCCCCCTTAAGTCTTTTTTCTTTCAGTTACACTGAAAAATATCCTGGCTCTTCCCAGCTCTATAATGGGAGTGAATATAAAGATCCATCCACCATGAATGTGCTCCACACGGCAATAAAGGCCTTCTGAAGCGAAACGGTTTTGGAAGAAAAATATTAATAATTATAACTTTATAAACTGTAATCACTAGCTTCCGGTAGCGTCCGTCTGTCCGTGTGTTCATGAGAGAGTAGAGTTGCGGTGTTTGGCGTAGGAGTAGCGCAAGTAGACGACTCTCGTGGTTCAAACAAATAGAGCTGAGCAACAAACTCAAGCTCCTCCCTCATTTCTCTTATTAGAGTGGTGTTTAGTTTGGCTCTATCCTCTGCACTTCCAAGTTCGTCAGTACGTCATGCATCAGGTCAGAGGTCACTCTTCCACCTGAACTCGACTCGCGTACGCCTGTTACCGGAAGCCAGTGATTGTAGTTTATAAAGTTATAAATATGGATATTTTTCTTCAGAAGGCCTTTATTAACCCACTGGAGCCGTATGGATTACTTTTATGATGGATGGATGCGCTTTTTTGGGTTGAGTGAATTGAGGGTGAACTAACACTTTAAAGGGATAGTTCACTTTGAAATTAATTTTTGATATGTTTTATCTTACCTCAAGGGCATCCAAGATGTAGGTGTCTTTGTTTCCACAGTATTTTCAATTTTGATATTTTTAGGTCAAACCGTTCTTGTCTGTCAGTCATATAATGGAGGTCTATGGTCACCACCTAAGTCCAAATTAAACATGATTTAATGACTCGTAAATGTAAGTACACATTGATGGCCTAAGACACGAAACGAGCGGTTTGTGTGAGAAAACGAACAGTATTTATATTGTTTTTACCTCTTGTAACCACAGCCACGTCCAAGTGATGTGAAGGCACGGGCGCTTCGGTCTGCGCATGCGCCAGAAGTGATCTCTCGCGCGTGTACATCACTCATTGTTTACACAGAGATTTCGGAAGTTTTACCTTCCATCAATGTGTACTTACATTTACGAGTCATTAAATCATGTTTAATATGGACTTCTCTGTGCATGCTCTTTGAGGTGGTGACCATAGACCTCCATTATATGACTGACAGACATGAACGGTTTGACCTAAAAATATCAAAATTGAAAATACTGTGGAAACAAAGACACCTACATCTTGGATGCCCTTGAGGTAAGCTAAAACATATCAAAAATAAATTTCAAAGTGAACTATCCCTTTAAAAAAAGATCGAGGTGAAGCGGAGGGGATCATGATACAAAGGTTCTGATCAACAGCAAAAAAATTATTAGCATGTCCACGTTTTCCACAATCATCACAACACCATGCCTTTAGTTTCTGCTGAAGACCTTCGAGTAGACAAAATATTTAATTAGACACAAATGAAAACAAAGATGTGAGCGTTTCAAATACAGTCTGTGGAGTTGAATATTGCAAATATGTCTTTCAAAACAATTCTGTGGAAAAAAAAAAAACCTTCAGAAAACATGGACAATTATGATATAGGACAGTGAGACGTGTTAAACAGACTGTGATTGTTGACACATTTTCATCCATATCAAACTCAAGTCAACTAATAATTTTAATTCAAATCAGAATTGATTCAGGCCAAATGGATATACCTTTATATGTGCGTCTACATCTATATATATATCTTTTCATGTTGACTTTAAATGTGGTGTTTGCTCTCACGATGGTCAAAAACATGACACAAATAAAATAACACATTCTCTTTCAGAATAAATAAAAATAACAACAATGAGCCTAAAAATCCAACCAATCCTGCTCTTGTGAAACATGTTCACATGTCATAGTCCAAAAACAAGATATTCAATTAATGTCCCATCACCAACGTAAGAAACTTTGACAACGTGATTTTCATGGAAACTGGGACAACTTCTATATTTTATAAGTGAGAGGTATATATGCGTATATTTATGTTTTCTACCACAATGTTTCTACTATCATGATGTCAGATGATATATGTGTGTTTAAGAACATTATGCATACTGGGGTGGGCCCATTTCCGTTGTCTCTTGGAAGACTTATTTGTGTTTTTCTCCCATGCCTTAATCAAGATACTGAGTCAAGCTTGTTTGAGAGCAAAAGCCATCCATCTATTCATTCATACATTCGTTCATTCTTCAATGATTAAGTCATTGAGGTCCATTCATGCACTGTGGGCTAGTACTGAAAAAAATCCACAGTAAAAATAAAACATGCACATCTGCATTGTAATTTGTGTAATATGGGTTCTGGCAAAAACTAGGTCACCCATATAAAGAGGAAGTCTCAAATCCTAGTCTGAATGATATAACAGGCAGCTGAACCTTAACCCAGGGCTAATTAATTTGAATAAAAGCCACTCAAATTCCTAACTCTAGAGTTTTACTGCTTCACATCATTGCTGTAAAACACTACGGTTTCTCGTCTGTGAGCATGATCTGTCAGGCAGCAGCCAATTGCCAATAACACAAACACAACCGGGAAACGGAAGACATTACTGGTATCAGAGGAAGTTGAAGCATTGGGATTTGGCACCAAGCATTCATGTATTCTGAAAAAAAGAGGCAAATGACCATAAAATGATGTGAGAAATATTCAAAAAGGGAAAGGAAAGATATGGAAAGAGTCAAAACTGCATATAAATATCTGGTTATAGCTTTTAAATCATGCTAAATTAAGTGTTTTGAATATGCAGAAAGTTTTCTGTGTTTGGTTTGTGGGTTTAGGGGTACGTTTAGTGTGGGGCAATAGAATATACAGTTTGTACAGTATAAAAAAATCATAATTTCTATGGGAAGTCCCCATAAAACCAGTGTGTTTGTGTGTGTAAAATATTAGGCATGCACCGATATGAACATTTTTGGCCGATACCGATAATTCTTTATTTTTGAAAGCCGAAAACCGATATATCAGCTGATAAATGTAAATCCAAATTTGTGTGTAATTTTTGAGAGCTTGATTACAAAAACAAAAGCCTCATCAGTAAAAGCCACGTCCCAAACACATAATTATGATGTTCTTATAATAATATAAAGTATCCGATATGACAGACTGAACCATATTTTCCCTTTTTGAAGTGATTCCAATCATATTTCAAGCAATTCAAAAGCATAATGATGAACATCTGAAGAGTCTCAGATGAAGGAGATAATACACTATTTATCGGCTTTAATATATCAGACAAATTATCTATTGGGCCAATAATGATAACGTTAAAAATAAACCGATATCGGCCGATAGCGATATGGTGGCCGATATATTGTGCATCACTACATGTGTGTGTGTGTCTAAACTAGAGCCAGACCGATATATCGGTAGGCCGATATTATCGGCCGATATTAGGCCTTTTCCAAACTATCGGTATCGGCAGTTATAATGGCCGATAAATGAATATTTCAAAAATAAAAACGTACGAAACACGCTTGAAACATGCCATGAGTGTTGGAGTTGTATAGTTTGTCCACCAGAGGGCACTCTACACCGTCCCTGTTGGCAACACTCGTTGAGTTGGTCACGAGACATACATTGCTTGAATAACAATTAAAAGAACATCCCCATCAGTTCTCTTAACTCAAATAAGCATGACAGAATTTGTGACTATTATGTCCAGTTTTGCTGCTGTTAAATAAGCCGAGAGTGAAGCTAAATTAGTTAGTAATAATTACGTTACGTTGTTACAGTGTAGTTGACTGACTGTCCTTTTAACTTTTGACAATGTGACTGAAGTATTTCTTTAATAGCGTGTGACAGTTATAACAATGAGGCGTATCATCTCTCCTTGGCCTGTTATCTTGAAAATGTATGTTTTACAATTTGCAGTATGACGTCATCCATTGCTAAATTATGGCTCATCATAGACTAGCCAACCATAAAGCTAGCTAATGCCACTATCATCAGTCTGTTAACTGTTAAAAAAGTTTCTTTTTAAAATGCATGATCATATTATTTTAGTTAAAACTCATAAATAACTACAAATAACTAATGTTATTGTATGTTTTGTTGCGCGTTTCGCAAAAAATAAAAAATATCGGCCGATATATCGACATATCGGATTTTAAAACCAAAAAAATATTTTTATCGGTATCGGCCTTCAAAATCCTTTATCGGTCGGGTTCTAGTCTAAACCAGTGTTGTGCACATAACAAAAAATATTAAATGTAATAAAGAATTAACACTAAATAAATTACACTAAATAAACTAAAACTAAAGAAAATCATACAGGTTATGAATGAACAGAGGGAAGTACACAAAAAGAGAATTTTGATTTTTGGGTGAACTATAAAAAAAACAAAAATCAAACAAGGATTCGGTTTCTCTGAGCAGCTCTTTAGGGGTTTTACTGCAGTGGAGAATGAACAAAAATACAGAACAAATATCAGCTGAACTGTCAGAAACTGCAAAAAAAACGGCAAGCACAGCATGTTATGTAAAACCTCAACATCTGTAATTGTTCGGTGGAAGTGCGTCCTGTAAAACCTAGCTATTTATGAAGAATACATTTTGAAACTACATTTTTTATTGTGTGTGTGTGTGTATATAGATACATCATCATAGTATATAGATACAGTGGTGTGAATAAGTGTTGGCACCCATGCTAAAGTTGCCTAAAAAGAGGAATAAAAAATCATCTTTTGGATATTGATCTTAATGCCTTAATTAGAAAAATGAGGAAAACTCCAACCTTTAAGGACACAAATTTTCTTTGTGAATGAATAATGTATCATAAATAAATAAATGTTTTTCCTTAAAATACAGGGTGCATAAGTCAGGACACCCCTATGTTAAATTCCCATAGAGTCAGGCAGATTTTTATTTTTAAAAGCCAGTTATTTCATGGATCCAGGATAATATGCATCCTGATAAAGTTCCCTTGGCCTTTGGAATTAAAATATCCCCACATCATCACACACCTTCCACCACACCTAGAGATTGGCATGGGGTACTTTCCATAAGATCATCTTTCAATGCAAATCATTATCAAACCAGCAATTAGGCTAACTGAAGTAAAACCATGCCAATCTCTAGGTGTGGTGGAAGGTGTGTTTTAAGGCAACTTTAGCATGGGTGCCAACACTTATTCACACCACTGTATATCATCATTGATTAGTTTATTAGTTTAACCTTTACCCAGAATAAGACATGCACTTAGACATGTGCTGACACGCCTGAACTATCAGGAATCAGCCATAAACCACTGTCATTTCCATAGATATTCATACAAGCTGACATGGGCATTAATGGTGTTGAAAGAGTAAACATGGAATCAAATTTACAATGACAACATCACCTCTTGTTGGCTGATGCATTATTCATAGTTGATGATTACTCTTTCAACAATGTCTCCACATTGTAGTATTATACACGGCAAGATTCCCTTTACAAGCCATTTGCCTGTCCATTCCTAACTAGATGTGGCATTAATCAGTCAAAAATCAGAAGATTGTGTGGGCGGAGTCTTTCTGCAAGCGCACTCCACGTGCACTGACATGGATAAGAACATAATAAATATTACAGCATAGGCTATAATCACCAATATTACTGCTAGTTAGGACACAAACTCTGATTTACCACTTGTTGCAGCACGTCTGTTTAGGTCATAGTGCTGTAAATGTTCACCAAAAATACAATTTTCCACCCTTTCGGCCATTTCAAAACGCAAGCTTGAGCTTCGCGTCAGCCTAACTACGTCATCACTGCAGCTGCAGACGTGCGAGAGTATTCACACTGGAAGCATTTGTACAGCCTCACATCAGTGGCACCAAGGCTACTGTACATATAAGTGAGCATTTCTTTACTAAGACAACCAGCCTATAATTATGTTTTTAGAAGTTGGTCATTTATAAACTTTCGTTTCAGTCACACTTCGATATGTTTACAAGCAAACTGCGGATTAAAAAACCCCTGCACACTCGGGTTTGATGGGGTAGTGCTAGCCTATACACCTGTCTATGTATTACATAAACTAAAAAAAAGTTTATATATACATTACTGACTATTACTGTACTTCATTTTATTTTTTATTCTAAATTGTTTTAATTATTTACTGTATTTTATTTTTATTATTATGATTTTTTTTTATTCTAAACTGTTTTAATTATTCTGATTTCTTTTGATTATTTTAATATCTTCCATGTAAAGCACTTTGAATTGCCACTGTGTATGAAATGTGCTTTATAAATAAACTTGCCTTGCCTATATATTCTGGCTAGTATACTTTAGTTTTTGTAATACACCATACTTTCACCCAAACCAAATAATTAAAAACGTTTAAATGGGTAAATCTTCCATAAATATTTTTGATTCTTCATTTTCTTTTCTGACATAGCTTACTCCAGTTCTTGTTAAAGCAGCACTATGCAGCTTTTTTACCTTACCTTTTTACCTTACGAAGTTATATGACTATTTTCAGGCCTTGAGTGCAAAGACATCTCTGCGTAAGTGCTATTTACAACAGTACAAGTACTCCACAGCGACTCTAGGGGTCACAGGAGATCCTGCATAGTGTGAATCCTGCATAGTGTGGCTTTAAAATATACTAGACATGTTTATTTTGGGCATTTTGGGCACTTTTTGTGTGAATTCATATTTATTTTATCCATTAAAAGTGTGCTTTCCCTTTAATTGAGCTTGAGTAGCGGAGCAAAAACAGACTCTGCACTAGGGTTGGGAATCGTGAGAAATTTTCCGGTTCCGGTTCCGATTCCGGTTCCGCCAAACGATTCCGGTTCCGGTTCCCATTCAATTAAAAATATTAGTAAGAGAAAAATCCACAATCCTTTTTGTGTTTATTTCTTATAGTACTTGACAAATTAGTTTAACAGACTGGTAATGTAAACAAACTCAAAATATTATTAAGCAATCTTTGCAAAAAAAAATGTATATATATATATATATATATATATAAAGGAAATAAAAAAATTCTGCATTCTCTATAATAATTTAGACCTCTCCTTTATTGTATCTCCAACAGTGAAGAATACCCTCTCAGAAGGAGTAGAATATGCTTTAACACACATATGTGTGTAGAACAGATTATTTTTTAAAACGGTTTGAATGATTGATTAATTAAGACTTTACTTATTTCATTACTGGATAAATCGGCGCTCTAGCAGTTAATAAACAGAACTGCTTGCGTCTTGCGGAAGAACATTGTTGCCGGAGCTACTTCTCTCTGTTTATGTCCATGACGAGTCACGCAGGCATTGGGCTACTCCGCAGCAGCTGCGATCCGCCGGCCAGTCTCCGAGTATTAACGCTTATTACAGGCTTGCCTTTACGTAGTGATTCAAGATAAGACAAAAACACGGTTTGAAAAAAAAAAAAAACATTATGATGCACTCGCTCATTGTATATATTTTGTAAATTCTGAACACAAAAAATATACGGACTGCATCTGTTTTGACCACTACCGTCAATGTTTACTCAAACTATAATCTCACTAATTCTGTAACGGAAATCATTTGAATATGTGAAACAAATAAATATTGAGACTGTGATTGTAAAGCAGTTTCATATCGACAACTGCTCTCTCTCTCTCAGCGCAAACAGATTTGAATGTAGGCTAGAGTGACTCGGCGGTCGGCGCGCGCAGCGTGCGTGTGTCTGTGTGTGACAAATGCAGCGCGTGTGAGAGCAAATCGCAACTTCAGTGGTGAAGTTTTTGTCATTTAGGAATAAGACGGCGTCTTCTACTCCCAGCACTTCGCCCACATGATGATATCGCATCGGCATCAGAACCGTTTTCGGAACCGAAACTTAGGAATTTTGCACGGTTTCGGTATTTTTTCAAAAACACAACCGGTTCTGGAAAAGAACCGGTTCTCGGTTCCCAACCCTACTCTGCACAGAAAACCCCCACTTCACTGCGGCTCATGCGACGCTCCTGTTTCCGGTGTGAATGCATTCATTGGTTAACATGCACGCCAAAAAATACGCGCTGCTCATGCTTGCGGTGTGAAATGGCCGTTAGAATTAAACAGGCAGCTATTGCTACTGTACCTTTATGACTTTTATTTGTAAATCACATGGGATTTGCTTTTCACATGTGAATGAGTAACAATATAATCAATATGACATGCCACATATTTGGACTGGAGAGGGAAAAATGTTTCTGCAAGTAAACATAGTTCATCGATATGCTCAGATTACAACGTAAGGAACCAAAGACGAATCATAGCCCACCTGTCATATATGAGGCCATCAATTCCCTGGTCCCTCAACTTCATCCTGTTATCATGGTCGTTGTTATAGTCGCCCCAGCAGAAGACCACGAGTCCTTTGGAATGAGCCTCTCTGATGAACTCCGTGTTCCTCAAGAGCTCGTCAGCATGGGCGCTGATTCCCTGTGAGCACATCCAAAAGCTATTTCAGCGAGTTGTTTAGTCTTTGTGATGAAATTTGACATGGCACCAATTTAGAGAAAACAAAAAGCCACATTTCTCTAGGAGTTTAAACAAAACTCACAGAAGTGGAAAAACATGATTAAATCTTTTTCACTTCAAAGTTCAATGCATTTGGATTATCCTGCCAAACTGGGCATGCTATTTCATAACTATGTTCTGAAGTATCAACAGCTATTGCACCATCTGGCTATGTGCGTTCTCTCACCAGTATGTTCTCGCTCTGGGCAAAGCTCATGGCGATCTTAGTGCTCTGACAGCGGATGTCCATGAGTTCAGGGTAGAGGTCCGTCACTCCTTGGGTCAGAAACAGGATGGGATATTTGTTCTGCTTTTTCCTCACCCTGATGAAGAGAACAGAAATGATTGCAACTTAAACACAACATGTAATCAGGACTGACTATTTACTTTCTTAATAAATGTCCCGGAACTTATTGTGCACATACATTTTAAACAAGAAATACATTGTTGGTTTATTTTGTGTTTAAATCAGCTGCCTTACAGTCTTAAAAATAAAGTTTCTTGATTGGTTTCAATCATTTCTATTCTATTCTAATTCTATATTATAATAATAATACGTTTTATTTATAACGCACTTTTCATCGAAAGATCTCAAAGTGCTACAGGTTAAAAACAATAAAAGATAAGCAGTTCTTTAAAAAAGAATGACATCTAAAGGGTACCAAAAGCTTTGCTAAAAAGGAATGTCTTCAGGCCTTTTTTAAAACATTCAGTGGATTGAGGTTCCATAACATCCATGGAACCTTTTAAATTGCACAAGAGTATTAGATTTTTACTGAATTATTAAACTCCTCTCATCATAAAAAGTATTTCACACTATTGGCAGGAACTGCAGGGAAAAATGTATATTAGTGAACTGGAAATCGACTCATTCTCCATCAAGACAACAATGGATCAATGAACTCATTTGTCATTTTGATATTGCACCCCTGAGGAAATTCTTTTCAATGTTAGGAAATCACAGAAAACTTTTGGAAAAATTTGGGGATCTTTTTTGGAGCAGTTACCTTCTCTTATTGCAAATTAATTGCAATCACATTCCTTACATTTTAGATTTTATATGATTAGTACAGCGAAATAAGTGAGGTCTGAATTGCGTGGGTTTTTCTTTGTTTTGTTTTTTTTCCTTGGGGGGGAGGGGGGGGGGGGTTGTTATGTAGTCTGATTTTGTAAAAGAAAAATGTCAATTGATATGTATATATGTTTTGTTTCATGTATCATAACTGAAAATAAATATATATATATATATATATATATATATATATATATAAAAGAGTATTAAATTTTTGTCTTTAAACTAAGAAAAAAAATGGTTCTTTTAAGAAAAGTTCACTGAAAGGTTCTTTGGAGAAAAGAAAATCCTTTTGGAACCTTTAATTCTATTAAAGTATTAAAAATGGTGAAACTTTACAATAACGTTTAATTTGTTATTTTTAGACAACTACATTAGTTAACATGAACTAACAATGAATAATACTTCTAATCTTATTTCATCTTAATCTCAGCATTTACTAATAATAAATTAAGATCAACCACGGAATCTGGTACCATTAGTTAATGCAGTGTGAACTAACATGAATATGAACATTTTTATTAACTAACATTTAAAAAAGTTAATAAATGCGATAAAAAAATATATTTCTCCTTGTTAGTTTATATTTATCAATAATAACTGTAAATGTTTCTGTAAAAATATATATTTATTTTCCTAATCAGTGGATCATCATCAAAATATGCATGTGAACAAGGCCGCTTACATTGTGCAAACATCAGGATCAAAACATGAGAAGACTATCTTCCTTTTGCCGGCGTTCTCCAGCACGCATGTGAGAATGATGTCCAAGAACTGATTCATGTTGAAGTAGGAGGAGAGTTTTGCATCCCAGGAGCCATCCTGTTTGGAGGAACAGATATGATGAGGGTGTTTTCTTTCTCCGTAAACACAGAGATCAAACCATCACACATCGCTTGAGGCGACACAAACCTTAAACTGAGAGATCCACTTCAGCTCAATGTTGAATCCCACATGCTCTGGAACAGAATGGAATATCTGGAAAATGATGTCAAATGAGAAGAGAAGTTAACCAAGCAGTACGGGCGAACAAACAAACATTTATCACAATGTTCTCAATTTTTTTGGTCAGTAGTAAAAAAAAGTTGCTAAATATATATATATATATATATATATATATATATATAAAATAATTGTGGTTAAAATTTATATTTATATATATATATATATTAACCACAATTATTTAAAAAAAATATAAATATGAGATTAAATTAAATTACCTCCAATATTGGAGGTAATTTAATTTCATCTCATATTTACATTTTTTAAATAATTGTGGTTAATATATGAAGAGTTCAGATGCAAAAGCCTCTAAATGCCATTTGAAATTTTCTTCTAGAATGATAATTTTTATCAAGCTTGTATATTTAAGTTCAGTAATTTCACTTAAATGGCAATTATAATTACCTATTAATTGTTATTTAAGTGAAATTACTGAACTTAAATATACAAGTTTGATAAAAATCATCATTAAAGAAGAAAATTTCAAATGGCATTTAGAGGCTTTTGCATCTGAACTCTTCATATATAGTTTTTGTTTGTAGCAACTTTTTTATTACTGACCCTCATTTGCAATAAAAACACACATTTACATAAGAGAAAAGATCAAGCTGTCACACCTGTGAAAGGGAAGGGAAAGGCTGGTGCTCATATATATACTCCTCTTCATCTTGTAAGTCTAAACAAAAGAACAACAAAAAAAACTATAATTTGTATCTATTCAACAGTTAATTGTTTATTTAGCTCCATACAGCTAAACAGATGCCTGTTTTGGCAAGTATTTTCAAAGCTATTAGCATTTAAAAAATATTTAAAAAACACTGATTTACAACAAACTAAGTATTTAAACTTTTTTCTTAAAGTACAATACTGTGAAATCCTATGTATTGCAAAAGACACAATAAATCAGCCGGTTTTAAAAAAAAAATAATTATCAGAAAACATTTCTCTTTAATGGGCTACCACATCATATATGAATGAGAAGTGAAATAGGAATACAACATTGTTTAACAATCAAGTTCATGATAGATTTGTCTTGAAAGACTCATATATATAATCGCTAATAGTCTTTAACTATGGAGATTTTGAATTAGATTTTTACTTCTAGTACCTGACTGTTATATAATGATCATTTATCGTTACATATGATAACTGATCATATTGCACTTTTGTGACATGAATTAATGGGGGAATTGTACCTTTGTCGTCATTAACATCCATGTCAGTTGTATGGGCCACCTGAAAAAGACAAACACATTCATACTCATCAATATCAGCATGGAGATAATTGCATTTCATTGTTCAAACAAGGTAAAAGAATCTGAAATAAGTCTTACTTTTAAAAGCTGAAGTTGATCAAACGTAAGATCCTTGACGGGAACTTCGAACAACAACAATGAATTCTTGTCATTTTTCTATAAAAGGACACAAAAAAATGTAAAAAGATGAAGAAGAGATCTTTCTTTCTTACGTTTTGCAATTTTAATCAGTGTTTACGACTGTTAATGTCTGAATTCAATTTTTTGAAGTAGGAAGTCTTCAGTCAAATGCCATTGTTACCTTTTTAGTAGAAATACAGCAGGTGAGGTCGTGGTACACGATAGGAACTAAATCTTTAGACAGATGAACATCAAACTCTACATAAGCTGCTCCCTGTGATGACAACAAAACAGATATGCATTAGCCTTTCATATTATTTAACAAAACTTTATGCATTTTGGTACCGTTGCAGTCTTTATTTACACTCACATGGTTGGCTGCACTTAGAAATGAGACAATTGTGTTTTCTCTGATCTTGTGATGCCTGAAATACAAGAGCAACATATTTCTCTCTGTTAAACGTGTACTTTTTCATGGTTTGTTTATGCAGCAAAGTCAGGTGTGCTTATGGTTTATGGCCTACACATAAGGACAAACACTAAATCCAAGCGGACAGGCTTAAGGACTCTAGTAGCACAACAAGCACACTTTTGCTACTCACTTGGCAGCATGTGTGCTCCCCGCTCCTCTGTGTCCAACATGCAAAGCGCTCCTTTTCTTCCAGTATTTTGCAAAAGACTGACTCATGTCACAATGAAAGCCTTGGATGGGACGCGTCACCAGGTAATCCACTGAAATTGCATCAAGAACAAAAGCATTTACTTTACTTAATGTATTCACTTCAGTAAAGTCAACACTTCATGTTTGGTAAGCATATCAATAAATGACTGGTATTAAAAAACATTATCTAGTTACTAAGCAACAATTCAAGCAAGGTGGATCTTGCCAACATGACTATATTTACTGTCTGTGAAATGTTTACATAGGCAACAGGAATGCACATTAGTTTTATGGTGTAAAACAAATGATACCAGACAAAATAACACCATAGCAATGTGGATTAGATTATACCTCTGACTTTTCCAATAGTCTGTCTGCCGTTTCGGCTCATGATGGGCAGGGTAACCACACCCAAATCTTTGCCGCTCTCCACAAAAGAGGACGACAAGAGGCATGCGGTGCCAACGTAGCCTGGATGGGAATCGCCCTGAACCACAGCCTCACTCATGTCCTCCTAAACCACAAACACAGGACAGAATAGTCATAATTCACTAAGAGGATCCATGCAGATCAATTAACAAAGCATTACAATGCTTTCTGATATAGTTGTGGTCATAACCTTTATATGAAGCAACACCAAAGACCATCGTTCACACACCTCAAAAAACTCAAAGGTGAGCTCTAGGTTGTCGGGGTCCATGGTGTGAATACTGTATTCTGTCCACTTGGAGGGTACCAGGGAGTATCCACATTCTGGCTGGGAATGACGTGACTTGCATTCGACGTCACTGATCATAATGGTCTCCAGTGTGGTGATCATCTCATGCCATGTTGAAGGACTTTCATCTTCTTCCTCAATACCTTCCACCATCAGCTTCAATCTAAACAGCCATTAATTTGGATAAATTATACTTTAGCATGTTCTTGAAAAGTGAAATCATGCATGAAAAAGATTGTTGTTCTAGAAGAAATTATACTGTTTGAATTGTAAAATTAAGCTCTACTGCATGCTTGCAATATTGTGCATCCCTACATTAATCATCTGATATATTTAAAAAAAGCAATGCAAAATTGGTTCAGACTGAACGGATATCCAGAAATTAGATTTGAATAGAATTTCAAACCACATTTGAATGTATGTGATTTGTAAAAATAAAATAAAAAAATTGCCTTTCACAAATGCTAAATAGGATCGGAGTCCAATCGGATGTGCACAAAAATCGGACTTGGACTGACAGTCTGAATAAGGCTTAAAATATTTCTAAGCTCATTTGTAGGGTTAAATATGTGTTCTGTGTTTTGTGAATGATGTTACCTGAAGCGTGAGTTCTTAAATTTATTCTTAGTAATAGAAACTGGAGGTTTCACGGAGTAATGAAGCCTGAGACGAATTTCTGTTTGGCATGTCAACCAGCCAGAGTCCACACACTCAACACCATCTGCACATGAAACAAATGAGTTAAAACAAGATATAAATATTTGGTTGAATTTGAGGTGTGGGTGCATTTAAACTTGTGTTTAAGTCATTTCAATTGTCAAACTTACTATGAACTCCAAAGTGTCCATCGTCAATCACGAGCTCTGGTTCTGCGAGTCAAGAACAACAATTAATATTGGAGGTCAAACACTCATGCTACAAAAGACAGTCACCAGTACAGAGTAAACAGCCACCAACACACTTTCTAGTGCTGACATGAGACATTAACTTCCTGGTTTAATTCTTAAACACTCAAAATGTAAAGATAAAAATAAGAGCTCTACACACGTTTAGCTTTTATTCTATACAAGCAAAACTGGGCATGTTAGAATTTAAGAAGAACACTAGAGATTATTAACTGGTTAATCTTAATTAAATAATTTAAAGAGTTTAATAATAATAATAATAAAAAAAATAATAATTTAACATAAGTATTACCATGCAAGCAAATTGTTTTTGTGGCAACACAAGGACAAAGAAATGCTGACATCTGAAGCAAACAGTTACATAATTAAAATTATAGCTCCTGCCTAGCAAAAATAAATAAAAAATAAAAATAGTATTGATGCCCTTAAAATGCATTGTTTTGAATAGTTTGTTAAATGCACGTGTTAAATGTGTGTTGTGCACACAAATAAAGGAACGCTAAATGTGTGTATGTATAAAATTTTATTTGAATAATTTTAAGTGTATGAACTAACTCAAAATTATTAATGCAATTGCTTAAACTTTTTTTCAATGAATAAAAACCCAAAATGTAAAGTGGCTAGATTAGGTGCACGCAACAAAAGCAAAAAAACAAAACAAAAACCAAAACAGCTTTGCTCTGTTTGTCTAAGACGGGTAATAGCCCACTATTATGGTTGCTAATAATTGATCCATTAGGTTCCCTTAAGTGGCTTTTATTGACGTTACATCTGTCCATAACAAATAACACTGAAATCAACATGAAATTAAAAAAAACATTATTTTCTTTAGAACAGGGTCTATAGTTAACCTAGACGGTTAAATGATTGCTATTGCTTGCTGGGCAGGGTATTAGAAGGTTATTTACTTTCTAAATAAATGTCGCTGGTTTTATTGTGCATGATTCATTAATGCAGGCAGGGAAAAATTACTTTAACTAGTAACAACAATCAGACCACTTAAAGTTCCAGTAATGTTCTGAGAGATACAATACATCATATTACAAATGTGTTGGGAATATTTCTTGTTGTCTTTAAAAAGTTGAAGTCAACATGTATTGATAATGTCCGGAGACAAACTGTTCAAAATGTGGTAAGCATAAAGGATGGAGGCTAGGGTTTCATTAGACACGTGCACTATTCTGGGATCAGATACCTGAGGGACTCAATGAGCGTGGCATCTGATGAGTCTCCCATCTATTGACTATGACTTGACATGGATCACCATCGTTCTGTAATTCCAAATGGGGGTTAAGATTATGGACAGATTTTGGAAAAACAAAGCCCACTTTGGCCATTCAAACCAAAGTTTCACTCCTGAAAAAAGAACATGAGGCATATTCACCACTTTCTTGCCAGCCAGCCAGTTGGTTGACATCTGAAAAGTGGACCAATTAGTCAAAAGAAACAAATTGGCATTTTTCAGTAATTAACTAGAGATCTCCAGGTTATTTATACGTTAAAACATGCCTTGAAAATCCCTGTACTTATCATTTAGCTTAAAATGTTATTTAATAAGATTAGTTTTCCTTTAATAGTTTGCAGATACACTTAACTATGAGAAAATGGTTCTAAATTCTTAAATCTTGTTCTTGTTAATTCTGCTTCTAAATTTTTTAATAATATTTCTGGCAGTGAGATAGTTGATGTGTAAATATTATGTATGAGAGACATGTTAGGAGGAGCTCGCAGGAAACGTGCAGCCCCTGTTCCAGAAACTTCTCCAGGAAAAAACTAAACTACCAAGAACTGAGTCAAGGTCAGCTAAAAGAGATTAACAGCTGTGATGAGAAAAACCTGGAAACCCCACACACACATGCAGAAGAATTTCAAACTCTTAAAACGATGTAAACTCTTAAAGGAGTAGTTCACTTTTAAAAACACTTTTGCTTATAATTTACTCACCCCCATGTCAGCCAAGATATCCGTGTCTTTCTTTCTTCAGTCGAAAAGAAATTAAGGTTTTTGATGAAAAAATTCCAGGATTTTTCTCCATATAATGGACTTCAATGGGAACCAAACAGTTCAAGGTCCAAAAGACAGTTTCAGTGCAAACTGCAAACTGTTCAAAGGGCTTTTAACAATTTCAGATGATGAATAACGGTCTTATCAAGCGTAATGATCGCTCATTTAAAAAAAAATAATAACAAAGTTTAAGTTTTATAAGCTCAAATGGTCGCCTTGCTCTGTTCTGTGCGACCCTCCTGTTCGAACACGTTCATTAAAATGAACAAATCTTTTCCCGAGTCAATTCGTTCGTTGAATGAACCAAATGACTCGAAAAAAAGATTAATTCCTTTTGATGAACGAGTTCAAACAGGAGAGTCACACAGAACTGAGCAAGGTGACCATTTGAGCTTATAAAACTTTTTTTAATTAGCGATCGTTTCACTTGATAAGACCCTTATTCATCGTCTGCAATCGTTTAAAGCCCTTTGAACAGCTGCATTGAAACTGTCATTTGGACTTTGAACTGTTTGGTTCCCATTGAAGTCCATTATATGGAGAAAAATCCTGTAATGTTTTCATCAAAAACCTTAATTTCTTTTCGACTGAAGAAAGAATGACATGGATATCTTGGCTGACATGGGGGTGAGTAAATTATCAGCAAAAGTTTTTTTTTTAAAGTGAACTACTCCTTTAAAGTACCCTAAGAATAAAAGAAAGCCCTTATTCCACATGCGTAAAAACTTACATGTATACATGTATAATAAAACAGTTTTGAATATCAGATTATGATGAGTCTTCAAGAAAGATAAAAAAATATGTTATAAACAACATCTATAAATACGTAAAACTGAGACTGGTCTTTAAAGGTTGTTGGGAAATCAATTCACCATTGGGCTTTTAAAGATTACTTATGCCTTATATCATGTTTGTTTACTGGAAAAAAAGAAGATCTCACCTTAGATTCAAAAAAGAATCCCTTGAAATAGCGATATTTGGTTTCACGCCCTCTAGGAACCTGAATGGTAGCTCTCCACAGGGTGCTGGCGGGAGACGAGACAAGCAAGCCAAACACAGAACATACAGTGTGTCAAGGGTAAGCGTGATTGTGCTGAAAGGCAAACATAAGATAGCTTTGCATATGTACCCATCCTCCTCTGCTGGCTGTAGAGCCACGGCTTTTTGATGAAACCAGCTGCCCAGTGTTTCACAACTGCCAACCACTGCTATCACCTCACCTGACACAGAAAAAAAGACAAAATACTTTATTAGTTCTTTCTTGTGTGGTAAGCGAAGGAATGTGTCTCGAGGCGATATAACGGTATTTTTGAAATGCCCTTAAGAGTGTAACGAGAGCCAGCGTTAAACTAGCTCATGTCTCAAAGCACATAACATTACAATAATAATGAACGTACATAACCTGTAACACCTGACTGCTGCAGATTATTTTCAGCACTTATATTGTTGCTTTTGAAACGCATGTATTTCGAGTCACGAACCGCTCAGATATAACGTCTCAGCTTTCAAGACAATTACGCTAGTTATGGCGTGAACGTAGCATAAACTCGTTTTTTTGGTTCAGGAGGAACTGTAAAAGGCAGCTGTTGTTTGTTTGTGGTGCTCTGTGACTGATTTTATCTCTCTATGGCTTGAAATGCACTAATGACGTGTGATGTCTGTGTGAGTAGGTGTGCAGGGGTATGAAAATACAATGTTGACAGGCATGTGAATATTTTATGGTCCTATGCCTTCCACAGAAAATATATAAGAAAAGAAGAGACTTTCAAACACTTAATCAAGCAAAGACAATAAATAAACACAAATACATGTGGCTGTGGTCAATATTAACTTAATAACAACACACTTATGATAAACAAAACATCTCTGTTTTCCTATTATACCAAATGATTACATTATGCAAATATAAATGTAGTAAAAATATTACTAATCTATCTCAAAGTTAAGACTACTTCATATTAACTAAACATTACTTTATTATTCTCACATATAATTACATTTTAATTGGTAATGCTTAATAAATACTTGACAACATGGGCAGCTTGTACTTCTCATTTGCAAGTCATTTTGCATAAATGAAAATTAACACAGTAAATGTAAAATATTATACATTTCATTATTACCATTGAAATTATTACATGATTTAATGCTTTACAGTTAGAACCATAAAACACTGTAAAACTGGTTGGATTAAAATCTTAAGTAAGAGACTATGTACAATGGTCTAGGTGCAAGGGATAGCATGTCTTCCATGGTGGAAATACTTGTGTCATGAAGTTCAAACTCAAAGATCTATGATTAAAGTATTATAGTATGTTGTAACTTATGTTTGCCTTTAATCTAAAATAATTAAAACAGCTAAACAAAACATTATCACATTTGCTTTAGACGGGACATTAGACTCGTGTTCAGCAATTGAACAAACACTATTCCAAAGTCAAACGTACAGATTTTTAATTAGACCACATTGATTATTTCTATTTATATTTTTTTAGAGATTACAGTGCAGCTTTAACTCATCATATCATGTACGTGGCCAAAGGGAAACCTTATTCCACAGTTGAACTTCTGATTGACAATATGATTATTGTTACTTGTACGTTTTATTAAAGGTTGTGATAACACTTTATTTTACAGTGTCCTTGTTACACGTAGTTACTACAGTAATTACTATATAAATTGAGCATAACTACATGAAAGTAACTGTAACAGACACCTTAAAATAAAGTGTAATCAAAGTTGTACACTGTGTTATACTCTTTTATTGAATTATTTATCTTACCTAGTCGTGTTGTGGTCCCTCTCACAGTCAGAGTCACACTAGTGCTATCCATGACTCACACACAGGCAAACGGAGATGAGAATGAAGAGACCTAAAACACAAAAGAAACACGTTTCCCAATTAAAAGCAAATAAGCCACGTTAACAGCATCAGTTGATCTGGATTTCCTCTGTGTTATAATACCTGCAGTGCACAATCTGCTCCTGGATCGTTAAGATCCCATTACATTATACATGTATTTTAATCATATTGAAGATTAAATCACGACTTAAACATCAACGGAAATATAGATACCTGCCCCTAATCACAATATTAGAAAATTGTCAGATTCTTGAATGTAAAAAAAGGTCTTAAGAGAGTTGAACAACGCGTGTAAACCTTTACAGTCTATGGTGTAAACACATGCGATGAAACTCGACTGCTTGCTTTAGTAGCTGGAGGAAGCAAAAATACACGGTCTGAACCGGCTGCAACCGGTTACTGTCAGCGACAACAACACCCGGCATCCGAGGGTGTTGCTCAAACACTGTAAGCTGCTTAACGTTACATACAGACAACATTATTACGTTCTAACCACGTGCCTAAAATGCTATCTACATAGGGAGCCCATTGATGTTTTGAGACGCTCACTGTTTACGTGAAAACGTGTGAAAGTATTGCGTAAAACGAAATGTATAGCGTGCATTCAGTGTCGAGTCCGTTAATTATTAAATAATTCAAAACATAATGAAAGTAAGTTACCTGAATTTAAAGATAAAAATCCATTATTTTGTACGGCTGTACCGTGCTGACGTGCCCATGTTATGTTTGGCGTTACATGCACGCGGATCTGAATGCCCGGGTAATGCGACACTGTTGACTGTAGACAATTTCTTAAAATAACTTTATCGAGGTGTCAGGGTTAAAACTATAACGTCTCTCAATTACTTGAACTTGTTCAGATAAAAAAAAAAAAAAAAGATTTACAGGTTAAAATAACGTTGAGATGGTGACTTTGTTATGGGAAATAAAAATAAGGGAGGGCTCGCTTGTTTGACATGGACAACTTGACCCCTCCTCTTTGCGTTTTCTGAACGCACATGATTGGTGGAAGAGGTGACTGACGGGTGATATGCGAGTCTAACTCACTGACCCTTAACTTGACCCCTCCTCTTTGCGTTTTCTGAACGCACATGATTGGTGGAAGAAGTGACTGACGTGTGATATGCGAGTCTAACTCACTGACCCTTGTTGGGTGGTGGAGTTCATCGACACAAGTTGAAGCTGACTCACTCACCCCATGTCATCCAAGATGTCCATGTCATTCTTTCTTCTGTTGAAAAGAAATTAAGTTTTTTGATGAAAACATCCCAGGATTTCCTCCACATAATGGACTTCAATGGGAACCAAAAGGTTCAAGGTCCAAATAAGAGTTTCAGTGCTGCTTCAAAGGGCTTTAAACGACACCAGACGATGAATAAGGGTCTTATCTAGCGAAACGATCGGCCATTTAAAAAATAAATTAAAAAGTTTAAGTTTTACAAGCACAAATGCTCGCCTTGCTCTTATTCTGTAATGAGCGTTCATGAATCTCCTGTTCAAACTCTTTTTATCAAAATGAACAAATCTTTTTTTCGAGTCATGACTCGAAGGGTCCTAGAAAAAGACCCTTATTCATCGTCTGGTGTCGTTTAAAGCCCTTTGAAGCTGCACTGAAACTCTCATTTGGACCTTGAACCGTTTGGCTCCCAGTGAAGTTCATTAAAATGGAGAAAATCCTGGAATGTTTTCATCAAAAACCTTAATTTCTTTTCGAATGAAGAAAGAAAGACGTGCACATCTTGGATGACATGGGGGTGAGTAAATTATCAGCAAAAGTTTTTTAAAAAAAAAGTGAACTACTCCTTTAAAGCAGATTAAGTTAACGGCCAACTTGAATAAACAAGACAAGTAATATTTTTAATAACAATATAGTGTATGCATGCTAAATTGAAAAAGTTAGAAAAGATGAACCTGTGCTATAAAATGAGAACAACTGACACATTGATTTTTCTCATGGCCTGTCTTTCAGTAGAACTGGTTGGTTGCATAATGAGGTGCCTCAGCAAGACAGAACATGTTGCATAACAGAGGTCAGACAGGCACACGCATGTTTAAAAAAAAAGTTCAGGGGGAAATAGTGATCGAAAGTATAGTTCAGAACAGCATGACTTGCAATGCAGAGATAAACCATATCTTCAGTCATAAATTCATTTAAGTATGTGATTTCTTTATGACGGATGTTTGCTGCCACCGGTAGCTCTTCCTGTTGCCAAATGAGCCATTGAGAGGAAAAATACAATCGTTCTTTTGAAATGAAGGCTATTGCTCCCAGAATGGTGAATGCTGCATTTGTATTTGACAGTGCTCAGCACAACTGAATGGATGAGACTGCAGGATTATACATTTTTAATGAGTCAGTCTTTGTCTCTATTTACCCCATATTCGCCCACCATTTGCTGTTGTCTGTGGATAAGATCATAGAGATCTCATTCAGAGAGAACTGCTTAGATGGTGAATTAGTAGTGTTAATTCCACCCCCCCTGATCAGGACGCAGTTAGTAGTCACTATTTTTCTTGCTTGTACTTTCAAGGAAGAAGTGGAAGCGAGAACACTGCAAAACTCCTTATTAGCTGATTTGTGTGCTCATGGGTTTGTGTAATAATAAATGCTGTGTTTCGCCCATAACATTTCAGGAATGCCCTGAAAAAGTCTGGGAAATGTTAATATATGGTTTTCTAAATCTAAATACGTCTTTTCATACAAAACAAAGAAATGTTCATTAAGAACTTAAGACAAATATTTTTCACCTCTATTCAAATTGTTGCAAAGAAATATATCTAAATATATAATTAATTCCCTCTTCAAATTTGTAAAAAATATCGTTGGTTTAACTTAAAAAATGAAGGAACCTGGTTGCCTTAAAAATTTAAGCTCATTGAAATGGAAAAATTGAGTTAATACACTACATCATTTATTTAAGTTGATTTGACAAAAGAAAAAATGTTGTGATTACAAATAATGAAAATATTTTTTTTACAGTGTTTTCATATGTTTTTATTAGTTTGGGTTTGATGATGTTTTTTATATGATCTTTTACTATTTTAAATATGCAGTGCATGATCTGTTTCTTATTTTAGTAATTATAGGAAATTATAGGAGATTTTTCAAGGAAATAGAAATTGTCTGTTTTATGTACAGAGTTCAAAAGTCTGGGATCAATAAATTGATTAACATTGACAAAGTAAAGAAATCGTTTATACTATTACATGAGATAACTTTAGATAAATGTTTATTTTGAAATGTCTATTCACCAAAGAAACCTGGAAAAGAAATGTTCACGCTTTCTGCAAAAAAAAAAAAAAAAAAAAAAAAAGTTAAGCAACTGTTTTCAACATTGATAATATTAAGAAAGCAGCCAATCAGAGTGATTTCTGAAGGATCATGTGACACTGAAGACTGGAGAAATGATGCTGAAAATTCGGCTTTGCGTCACAGGAATAAATTACAGTATAAAAATATATTGAAACAGAAAACAATTATTTTAACAATTATTTCAAATAAATGCAGATTTGGTGAGCACATGAGACTTTCAAAAAAACAATCTTTCTGAACTCAAACTTTTGATTGTGTAAACCTAAGCATCCAGCTATGCATGAACAGACTTAAATCACACTTGGTGTCTGGTGGAGGTTGTGGTGCTTCCAAAGGGGGAAAAGCGCCACTTAGTGGCACACACTTGTACTACAGTGAAGTTAGCCTATAAATCCATGCTAATGTTTACAAGATCTTTTAGTTCTCAGAGATGACCAGTGCCACGATTAAGGGCCATGACTAATTTATTCATCGTTCAGTGGAGCTTTGTATCAATTTGAGCTTAAGTCAAATCAGCCATCATTTGAAGCCATCCCACAAAGAAGCTAAAAGCTGTTTCACATCCACATATGAGCCCTAAAAGTCCTGTTAGCAGACTATTAGTTAAAAAAGTTGCTGATTCTTGACCAGGGTCTGTTGGACATGCAGACGGAGTAGTACAAAACAGGAACGAAAACCATTTTGAGTCGTTCTATAAAGCTAATTTGCTGTTGGAGGAGATCCTTGGTTTATGAATCATCAAATTTGGATTTTCAGTTCTGCAAAACGTAGAAGCGGACGCAGTTAAATGTCATCTGGATGCTGTGACAAGTTATATATGATGTAGTCATCTCTCCATAGATGAACCAATAAAGGATCTTGCTATAGACCTCAGGTCAGGTTAGATGCCATATTGAATTTAAAGGAGTAGTTCACTTAAAAAAAAAAAAAAAAAAAAAAAACGTTTGCTGATAATTTACTCACCCCCATGTCATCCAAGATGTCCACGTCTTTCTTTCTTCAATTGAAAAGTAATTAAAGTTTTTGATGAAAATATTCCAGGATTTTCTCCATATAATGGACTTCATTGGGAACCAAACGGTTCAAGGTCCAAATGAGAGTTTCAGTGCAGCTTCAAAGGGCTTTAAATGACACCAGACAAATAAGGGTCTTATCAAGGACCCTTCGAGTCATGACTCGAAAAAAGATTTGTTCATTTTGATGAATGAGTTTGAACAGGAGAGTCACGAACGCGCATCACAGAACAGAGCAAGGCGAGCATTTGTGCTTATAAAACTTAAACTTTTTAATTTATTTATTAAACGAGCGATCGTTTCACTAGATAAGACCCTTATTCATCATCTGGTGTCGTTTAAAGCCATTTGAAGCTGCACTAAAACTCTCATTTGGACCTTGAACATTTTGGTTCCCATTGAAGTCCATTATATGGAGAAAATCCTGAAATGTTTTCATCAAAAACCTTAAGTTCACTTTACTTTCCCATGAGGCCATGGGAGAGGATTTGTTAAAGGCAGTTAAGCGACACAACTGACGCCAGTAGGTCACATGATAATGACAACATGCCGAATGTACTACATCCAAATTACATTCATACTATACACACTCATACTGTTTAGAGTGTACTTTTTAGCGTTCATGGAGTAATGACTTATCCAAAATAATTACTTAATACTCAAAAAACAGTAGGCCTATGTGATTTTGGATGCAGTCTGAGGCAGTGAGAGATTCATTTTCACAACTCACAACTTTCAAAACTGTTTTATGGATTTTTTTGTCTACTGAAAGTTTTTTCGGAAAGACGTTTCGTCAGCTGAACAATCTGTACATTGTTAAACAACAGTATAATCCATTGAACGCGCTGTACCTTTATCCATTACAAACTAATTTTCATTCCTGTTAAAAATTAAATATGGGACTACCTAAGGTCTATTAAAGCACTACTCTCCAAATAACTCAAATGAAATAAGTTTGACTGTTTCTCTTTTAAAACCCTTAATCAAACTCTTAATTTGTATAGATCCAGCAGATGGGCTGCCAGGAATAATGTCATCGTCAATCAAAGACAGCGGCGCTGCCAGTGT